TGCCCCGGTGGTCTTCCCATGCGGGCCTTGCGTCAGCCGTGGGGGCCCAGGCCCGACGCGGGAAACCAAGCTGATGTTGTTGTGGCCGTGAGTCACTCGGGCCGGGAGAAAAGAGACCAGGGAACACAGAGGGCCACCAGGCAGCAGCAGCAGGACCTGGCAAATAACAGGCCCTGCGGCAAATGTGCACATGCACTTTGCCGACCGCGCACGCCCGCGCCTCCCAGCCCCGGGGGGGGGGGGGGGACAAAAGCAGGGAGAGAGGGGGTCCGTGGGGTCTGTCTGGCCGCCTCCTGGGGGGGGAGGGCACCAAAAAAGGGGGGTAAGATCGCAGATGGCTTTTCATGGATGGGAGCCGAAGCCGGAGCGGAGGCAGAGCGGCCGGAATCGTTGTCACCCCTCACAGGATGGGGTAAAAACCGCCGGACCGGAAGTGGGCGATCCCCTGAGAGCGAAGGAGCGCGGCCTCTGCGTTCCCGCTCCCCCGTTCCATTCTGCTTGGGTCCTCCGTGGTGTCCCGAGTGTGTCGGGCCAGGTGTTCGTCCAAATATTAAATCGGCATTTCACCACCAGGCACGTAAGCCGACAGAGGGGGCAGCATGCGGCACATGCGGCAGCACTTCCAGCCACCCGAGCCTGACCCGGGGGAATGCCCGCCAGGAGCGGGTGGGCCGGGGGGGGGGGGGGGGGGGGGCAAGGGTTCGAGGGATTAAGGGGGGGGGGGCCCCCCCATGCCCCCCCCCCCCCCCCGGTCCGTCCCCCCGGACTCGGCCTCTGCCCTCGCAAGAGGGATTCGGGGGGACAAAAAGGCGCCCACCCCGGGAGGTCACGCATCCCCCGGGGGCTGGCGCTCCCTGACCCCCCGGAGCTGGGCTATTTTTTCCGGCCAACCCAGTGAGGACTAAAAACCGCCCGATGTCGACTCGCGGTCGCGGTGCCTCCGGCGCCGGGCTCCGGGGGAGGGCAGCACCACACACAGGCCCCCCCCCCCCCCGCCCTGCAAGAAGCGGATGTGTGTGCAGGCAGCGGCAAGGCGGTCCTCCCTCCAGCCCAGGGGGGGGGGGGGATGCGGGGACCCGGGGCCGCCGCACCGCCCGCACTCTGCGCGAAGCGTTGTCACACGCGCTCGACCAGATCGGAATACCACTCTCCCCGGCCCACAATGGGGATCCACTTGCGTTCTGGGAATGTTGGGTTGTCTATTTTGATGGGTCGGGTCTTGGAGCACCGGGGTGCGGGTTGAGCAGGGGCGTCAGCATCCACGCGACGCATCGCCGGCCGGAGACGAGTAGGTGCCGAACTCCGCGATCAGCCGCGCGCGCAGGGACTTCGGCAGGGTGCGCCGGCGGAGGCCGAGATTGCGCGAGTTCTCCGGGGTCTGGCTAAAGCGGGTTGACTGGATGCCGGTCCCGACGGCCAGCGAGTCCCCGATGACCGAGGTACGCCGCCGTTGCCCGGAGGCCGTGGCGGGGGTGGCATCGCCGCCGTCCACGGGGTCGGCATCGGCGGAGGCGGCCTTTGGGCGCTTGATCTTCTTTGGCACAGTCGATACCCGGCGCACTTGCTTGGCCAGAGACAGGCGCATGGTCCACAGGCTGAGAGACAGCCCCGGGTGGAAGGCCTCGGACATGGGGGTGACCATGGCCGGGGTGTCGGTCAGGTCAATTTGGCCGCGGGACAATGCCAGCTGCATCATGCTGCTGTGCAACTGCTCGATCGACTGATCACCGGGCTCCAGGGCGCCGGCCGCCGCGCGGAAGACATTCAGCAGGTCCGGCGCCGTGGCGGCGCCGGCCGGCTCTTCGGCCACCGGGGCATCGGTTGACCCGGACAGCGAGTCAACCCCAGGCTGGTGATTGACCGGGGCATAGGCCGCCCGCAGGGCATCGGCCGACACCGAGACCGAAGCAGGCGGCGCCAGGCCGGCATGCATGTGGTTGCGCCGATCGGTGCCGAAGTAGGGATCCCACGTCAGGCCGGTGTCGGTGGCGGCCTGCGGGTGCCGGGCCGGCTTGCCGGGGCGGGGCGTCGAGTCGGCCAGTTGGGCCTCTTGTCCGCTCAGGCGCTCTCGCGTGGAAGCCAGCTGGAGGATGATCTGTCGACCGGTGGTCAGGCGCCCCTGGCGCACGGCCAGATTGCTGGGCAATGTGCGACCGCGGAACAGCAGCAGGCCACTCCTACTGGAGGGAACCGCGAGGGTGACGCTTTGGAAGGGCTCGCGTGCCAGGCTCAGCAGGGCCAGCGATCGATGCAGGGCAGCCGTATGTTCGCGCGCGTGGTACATCATCGTGGACCGGTGTTTGGCGAAGCTCGGCCGGCGGAGCATCTCCTCCGGCAGCAAGGCCGGGTGCACGGGGAAGCGGCTGCGTGTCTCGGGGAACTGCATGCGATAGCGCTTCGGCCGGCAGTCTTCGACCAGCATGCTGCGGAACTCCTGCACACCGCGCGAGCGCGCGCGCGGAGAAAGGGACACAGGCACGTGTGAGAAGAGGCGAAAGGTCCTTTGCTGCTCGTCTCGCGCCTCCCTCCTCCCCGCCTCCCCCTCTCCCCCCCGCCCCTCCCCCCACCACCCCGGCCTCGGCGTGCAGACTTGCATCTTGCAAGGCGGGCCAGATACCCGCGGATGGCGCCATGTCAGGAGCATACCTCGTCCTCGGAGCGGCGGATCTCGTCCAGCACGTCGCGCAGGAAGCCCACACGCCCATGGGCATGCTCTTGCAGATAACGCAGACAGTCGGCCCCGGTGGACAGGTCCAGGGTGCCTAGGTCGACCGGGTGGCTGGTGTGGTCCACGGCCGGGGGTGCCGTGCCGGCTTGCGTGCACTCATGCAGGTAGACCAGCGCGCGTCGGGTCACGCCGATGTGGTGGTACAGATCTGCGATGCTGGCGCTGGTGTGATTGTCCAACGTGGAGTATTTGTTCACCTGGATCTCCATCCGGGCGGTGTGGCGGATGAAGTGCCTGCCGGGCGGGGCACGCGGACAGTGGGTGCAGTGCAAGCCGCGAGCAGTTAGGAGGGGGGAGGGAGGGACAGAGGGCAGAAGCCCGGCAGGCATGCCTGCTGATGCGTGTTCGGCAGCAAGCGGGAGGACAGGGGGGGAAAGGAACAAAGAGGCTCGTAAACGCATGGCAAGACGCACCCGATCACCGGGTCCTCGAAACGCTGGGCCAGCTTGACCAGATGCCGGTACCCGGCCAGGACCGCCGGGCTGGAGGCCCGCAGGGACATGGCGCAGAGGGAGCACTCACCAAAGGGGGCAAGACCAGGGAGAGGAAGGCAGCGAGCAGAGGAGAGGGAAGTGGAGGAGGGCCTGCGTGAAAGGGCGGGTGGTGCGTAGCCAGGCAGGGAAATGGGGCTGTGCGCCGGCTTGCGGGGAGGGAAGTCAGACAGGCGGCTTTTCCCGTGGCAGCCATCCACCCGACACTCGCGCCCCCACAGCAGGGGATCTTGCCGGCTGGGGGCGTTCGGATGCTCCTCGCCGATCGCCCGTCCCCACAGGTGCTGGCCACCCCGTCCTCCGCGCCCTTCCCGGCCCCACGCCCGGCCCTGGGACCCTCTCGAGATCGTTCGACACCGGTCGCCGACGGTTCCCGGCCGCACACAGGGCGAGCGAAGCAAGGCGGACATGCGGATGTGCGGGCGTGTCTTTCTATGTGCCAACGATCTGGAGCGTTGGGGTATGATGGTGGTCGCGTTCGAGATCGACGCCCGCCCCTTTCGCCGCTCGAGCTCCCCCCGCCCACTGCCCCCGCCCACTGCCCCCGCCCATCCCTACATGTCAGGGGGCCGGCCCCGCCCACCACACAGGCCGACAAAAGCACACACTAGCCCGGTCCCAAAAGGAGCTGACTTGGGGCGCCGGCTGGCGTGCGCGCGAGCCGCGCCGGTCAGACGACCCGACCCCCTCCCGCCCCTCTCGCGTCCACCTACCCCCTGCCCTCTTCCTTCGCCGCCATGTTTCGCGTTCTCTCCGTGTCCGCCCCGCGCGCGGCTGTCGCCCTGAGCACTACCACTCGGGCCTTCTACTCTTCCGGTCGCCAGCTCCTGCAGGGCGTCCTGACTGAGCAGCTCTCGGCCATGAAGGAGGCCGGCACTTACAAGGTTCGGCCGTGTGTGGGCATGGGCGCGGGGGGTCGCTCGCGGCGCCCACGGGCGCGCGTGTGCTCTCTCCCCCCTCTTCCTCCCCCTCTTCCTCCCCCTCTCTCTTTCTCCCCCCCCCACCCCACCAACCCTATGGCCCCCCCCCCCCCCCCCCCCCCCCCCTCATACTGACCTTGCCCTCGTCTCCCGGACCCAGAGCGAGCGTGTCATCAGCACTCCCCAGTCGTCGGAGATTCGCCTGCAGACTGGCTCCCCGGTCCTGAACTTCTGCGCCAACAACTACCTCGGCCTGGCTGACAACCAGTCCGTTGTGCAGGGCGCCATGAAGGCCCTGGAGACCCACGGCAATGGCCTGTCCTCGGTGCGGTTCATCTGCGGCACCCAGGACATCCACAAGGCACTGGAGAAGCGCATCGCCGAGTTCCATGGCACCGAGGATGCCATCCTCTACATTTCCTGCTTCGATGCCAATGCCGGCATTTTCGAGGCCATTCTCACCGACGAGGATGCCGTCATCTCGGACTCCCTGAACCACGCCTCCATCATCGACGGCATTCGCCTGTCCAAGGCCAAGCGCTACCGCTACAACAACTGCGACGTGGCCGGTGCGAATATGGCCTCCTGCCGCCCTGCCACCTTCACTAGATCTGCCCTTTTTGGCGAGGGGGAAGTTCGCACACTGACAGCCCCCGCCCCCACCCCACCCCGGTCTGATCCCCGTCCGCAGACCTCGAGGAGAAGCTCAAGCAGGCCGACAAGGATGGCGCCCGCGTGAAGCTCATTGCCACGGATGGTGTCTTCTCCATGGACGGCGCGGTGGCTCCCCTGCCGGAGATCTGCGACCTGGCCGACAAGTACAATGGTGCGTGCTGATCTGTCTTGTGCCCCTTTCGCCCGCTGGCGCTGTACGCTCTGCCTCCTCTCAGAGCGCCCGTCTGTTGTCCCTCGGCGTCTGACACTTTGCCCCTTGACGGGGATGGTCCTTTCCCTCCTCTGGGCCGCTCCGCGCCCGCTCCCCTCCCCACCGCCCCCTCTCCTCATGTTCCTCTTACGACCAGCCCTCATCTTCATGGATGAGTGCCACGCCACCGGCTTCTTCGGTGACACCGGCCGTGGCACTGACGAGTTCCATGGCGTCCGCGGCCGTGTGGACATCATCAACTCCACTCTCGGCAAGGCCGTCGGCGGCGCCGCTGGTGCGCTCCCCCTCTCCCCCCCCCTCCCCCCTTTGCTGGCCCTCATGTCGGACATGCGCCATGGTGTCATTGATGTTCTGACCCTCGGCCCGTGTGCCTTGTGCCCTCTGCGCCCCTCCCCCTGCCCCCCCCCTGTCCCCCCTTCGCCGGCCTGGATAGGCGGCTACACCGCCGGCCCGCGCGAGGTCGTCGACATGCTGCGCCAGCGCTCGCGCCCGTACCTTTTCTCCAACAGTCTCCCGCCGGCCATGGTTGGCGGCGCCATGGCTGCCTTCGACGTGGTCACTCAGTCGGACGAGCCGCGCCGTCAGCTCCGTGCCAACACCAAGCTCTTCCGCCAGCGCATGACCGATGCCGGCTTCACCCTGAAGGTATGGCTCGACCATTTCTCCTCCTGCCATTCGGGGGTGCTTGCATGGCAGGTTTGATCGGCGCCTTGGTAGATTGTCCGCTCTAACCTCATCCTCCCCCCCTCCTCCTCCTGTCTCTCTCTCTCTCTCCCTCCCCGTTCCCCATCTCCCCTCTTGCACAGGGTGACGTCCATCCGATCGTGCCTGTCATGCTGGGCGATGCGCGCCTGGCCTCCGACATGGCTGATCGCCTGCTCAAGCGCGGCATCTATGTCATTGGCTTCAGCTTCCCCGTCGTTCCGCGCGGTGCGTCCTTGCCGATTGGCACATCGGCTTTCCCCGGGGGCTTCCCCTCCATTTGCCGGCTCCGCGCCCCAGGCGACTAACTGCCCGCCCTTCCCCGCCCCGCCCCACAGACCAGGCCCGCATTCGTGTTCAGCTCAGCGCTTCGCACACGACCGAGCAGGTCAACCGCTGCGTCGATGCCTTCATCGAGGTCGGCCGTGAGCTCGGCGTCATTAACTAAGCCCCTGTCTGGCCTGTCCCCCTCCCCGTCTGTTTCCCCTCTTTCCTGGGTTTGCTGCTTTCGATAATGCACCACCATCATCACCATCATCACCATCATCGTTGCACGCGCATGTGTGGCAACCGCCCCCC